GGGCTTGGGGTCGTGGTCAAGTTGATATTAGAGCTAAGGTACTATAATGTAGTATACAGGATATATATATGAAGGTGGAATGAATAGAAGCGGACCCGGGCCGAAGGCCGAAGGGTCCGGAAGCAAATAGGAACAAAGAGCGGGGTTGGCCGCACCGCGGCCGGCAATGACCGAGGGTCAAAACAAACAATAACAGATAAATAAACGAAGGGGTGTAGGGCCGCGATAGCGGCGATGGTATCATAGCGGAGTAGGCGATGTCGCGGAGTCACGCTAGGTCGGTACCAGAGGCGGACTCGGGGCAGGGAGGTCGGTGTGGCTGTGGGGGAGTCGGCCAAGTGTAGGGGAGCCTAGGGGCAAGTGGGGGAGTGAGCAGGGAGCCCTCAGGGAGGATAGGGCTGAGGTCGGGGCTCGCGCTCACGCTCGCATAGCGGTAACGGGCTCGGGCGGCATCGGGATGGGCGGCTAACGGGCCGGAATGCATGGCCGTGACAGCCGGACGCACTCTCCTGTCGTGCTGACCACCCGAAGGGGAGAGACGACAACGAGGGGCTAACTCTTCTCCAACCCGCCTGGTTCGAAGCCTGCGTGACAGAGGCAGTTTCGGTGGAAGGTGAAGAGGCGGGTATTCTGGGAAGGATACATGAGGCAAAGGACCATGACGAGAAGGTAGTGAAGGCCATGCGAGAGCTGGGAGAAGGGACATTAAGGTCGGATGAATGGGAGAAGCAGGGTGACCTGATCCTGTACCGGGGAAGGGTGTATGTCCCAAAAGACCCCCAACTCCGCCATGATCTGGTACAGCTACACCACAACTCATGGGCGACAGGGCACCCAGGGCGATGGAAAACCCTGGAACTCGTCTCCCGTGACTACTGGTGGCCCCGGATGGCTGAGTATGTCGGGCGATATGTACGTGGATGCGACACCTGCAATTGCGTCAAGTCCTTCCCTTCACGAAAGGTCGGGAAGCTTACCCCAAATAAGATCCCCACCCATCGTTGGCAGGTCATCTCAGTGGACATGATAGGGGAGCTCCCAGAGTCCAGGGGATACAATGCCATCCTGGTCATAGTGGACCGGCTGTCATATCCATACAATCCTGACCTCCGCTCCAGGCTCCCGGAACTCCGAACTCCGACTTCCGGAGCCCTACTTCCCTTCCGTCACCTTCTTGCCGACTCCCAAGAGGTTATCCCACCTCCGGCTCGGACACCACCTTCGGTCCGACTCCGGAACATTCCGGGTCCGACCCCAACCTCGACACCTTCCAGACGAGTACGCAAAACCTATGCTCCCGACTCCGGACCTCCGCTCCGGTATCCCGTTCACGTCTCGTCTCCGGAACCTCCGGTCTTAGCTCTGACCTCGGACTTTGACCCCACCTCCGCTTATACCCATTGTATTGGTTAGCTCATTCCATTTAATTACCTTTGCCAATATTCCGGAGTTTCACCTCCGAGTTCGGACTTTCCGGACTTACTCCGGACCTTGCAACTATTGCATTGTCCATTTCAATTCCGCTATTCTCCCTCATTCCTATTTGGGCTGCTGCTTCCTTTCCATTCAGTCAGCTAGCCATTCCCGACTCCCATCCTCCTTCCTTCCTTCTTGGGCCTTGGCCCTTCATTCCTCCTTTGGGAAACACCATTGAGTCAAACTCTTGACCCTCGGTGTTGTTCCTCTTTCCATCTCCCTTTGTCTCCTTTTGTCCTACCCTTGTTCCTTTTGATTCCGGACCCCTCCTTATATACAATGTACCTAGTAACTTGTAACCTCAGTCCGAAATCGACTTGAATTCCCCCAAGAGACTTTCCCTCTGCTAGATCCGAAATTAGGGACCCCCAGGACAACCAGCAATGGCACAGCGCTCCGCCTGAGTCGCTGAGGCCAAGGTCCTTCCATGATAAGTCTCCGATTCCACTCCGGAGTCGTCCGAATCCGCCCATTCTAACACCAGCTGTCCAAACGCATCCACGTGGTCCCCACCGTGACAACTGTGGATTTGGAGGGTATCGCACGACTCTTCTTGGAGCATGTCTGGAGACACCATGGGCTCCCTGAGGAAATCCTCAGCGATAGGGGGAGCACCTTTGTCTCCCGCTTCTTGAAGGAGCTCGCAGACCTCCTAGGCGTCAAGCTGACCCCTTCAACGCCCTACCACCCCCAGACGGATGGACAGACGGAACGGGTCAACCAAGAGATCGAGGCCTACCTCCGGGTGTTCGTCAACCACCGCCAAGACGACTGGGCGGACTGGCTCCCGCTAGCAGAATTTTCCTACAACAACCGCATTCACTCCTCCACTCACCGAACCCCCTTTGAACTCGACACCAGCCAACATCCTAGGATGGGGACAGAACCCACACACACATCCGAGGTGGAAGCCACTGATGCATTCTCGTCAAGGATGATGAACATGCAAGAGGAGGCAAAGGCAGCCCTAGAGCATGCAGCGGACGAGATGGCATGATATTACGACCGGGACCGTGACCCGGCCCCTAAGTATCGAGAGGGTGACCAAGTCTGGCTCAATGCCCACAACTACACGACCAACCATCTGACTAAAAAACTGGACCACAAGTGGCTTGGCCCCTTTAGGATCACTCAAGTCATCTCCCCAGCCACCGTTAAGCTCCAGCTCACCGCCCAGCAGAAGGGAATCCACCCAGTCGTGTCCGTGACGAACATCAGGCCACACCTCCCAGACGGTATTGCAGAAAGACCCACTGACCCACGCCCAGGCCCGAAACTAGTAGAAGGAGAAGAAGAAGATATTGAACTCTAAGTGGCTATGCCGGAAACTCTGGTATCTGGTAAAGTTCACTGGCTGGCCGAACTCTGAAAACCAATGGCTCCAGCGGGACCACCTAGCCCATGCCCCCGACTGGATTGAAGAATTTCACAAGACGCACCCCCAAGCCCCAGGGAGAGAAAGGGAGAACCACCTGGCTGCTTCGAGGCGAAGCGGCTTAAGGGGGGGGTGATGTCAGGGCACACCTGCCTGACCCGGCTCCACCCAGCCCAACCTGACCCGGTACCCTGCTGGTCCACCCTTCCTTACCTCCTCCCCCTTTCCCTTCCTCCCTCCTCATTCTTCCCTCCTCACTTTCTCCCTATCTTACTTCTTCTTTATCCTCTCTTTATTCTACATGGATGACTCTCTCTGTATCAATGTACCATTGACCCATCTGCAGCATGCCCACCATGTACCTGGCCCGGGCACCTTGGGCGACTTCCTGCTGTGCCCAGTACACGCGCCTGCACCGGATGCCCTCGGGATCTCCCACAGAGATACCCGGGTGGTTATGGCTGTGTGCGAGGGTGATGTGGCACCCGTCATGTGATCTAAGCCGCATGTATATAAACGAACCTGAAGTGGGAACTGAAGAAGTAGCCTTCTTCTCAACTTTCCACTTCAGTCTAAGTGGCCAGGGACCACTGTCCCGCATCAGGCCTGTCAGTACGCATGCCTGATCCACCCCCTGCCAGGCTCTCAGCCCCGGACACTACACCCGGGCCCCCTTGACCCCGGACGAGTCCCTGACAATACACCATGAAGAAGGTATGTATGATACCAGTACTCATTTATGTATTATTTCGCAACTTGTCACGACCCGGCAATTCCCACGGTCAGGTGACCACTCCCCACACCTTCTCCCTTCTCTGCTTCGACCCCGTCAACTCCACTGCCCACCCAACACTGCCTGGACAAGCCCATCACCCCTCCCTGTTACTGCTACCTGTTCCACAGCCCATCACGGGCCTATGAGTCATTCCTTATCACACTTGTTTTTCTTGATGGCCATGCACGGCTGTCCTCCTCCCACACTCTTTGTTTGTATTTGTTCCTTCTTAAGCCCGCCCGCAATCTCCGTGAGATCTGGCAACCTATTTCTATTCATTCCATTACACTTAAATACCGGTTGTATACTACCTCATACTGGAGTTCGAAAATCAACTAGGGTTACCCCCTGCACTCCCTGTCTGACTCAGTTGCACCCTCTTCCCTCTGAAATATCGGGGCCGCATCAAGTACGAGGTGCAACGCTCACGAACGAGTTGTTGAAGCCGAAACCCCATTTCGCCGCGATTGTCATCCCCACCCTTAACGGGCTGTTACGCTGGAGTAGCGGACCTTAACGGTTGCCGATGGCGAGTCACGGTAACGTTTTCCCACGCCCTGACACAACTCCTCCAACATTGAGATGCAACGTGAAGCTCATAATGCAATGAGGAAAGGCGCATAGAGTGGCACAAGCATGTTCTTGATACCTACCTTCCAGATCAGTTTGTCTTTGTGGATGAGACTGCTGTTGACAAGTGTACCACTCTTCGGATCAGAGGATGGGCACGAAAGGGATGCCGTGCCATTGTTCATTCAAGCCATGCAAAAGGCAAAAGGTGGGCACATGTTTACCTGAATCACTGATGAACTAACCCTTGGGTTTTTCATATAGATTCTCAGTACTTCCTGGGCTATCTTTGGATGGTCCACTCTGTATTGAAGCATGGAATGGTTCTTATGACACACAACACTTTCATCGCTTCATCCGCAAATTATTGAAAAAAATGAACCCATACCCATTCAAGAACTCCGTGATTGTGATGGACAATTGCTCAATTCACAAACATCCTTCCATCCAGCGTATGATTGAGAGACAGTATGCTGACAGTTTATTCTCAAATGTTTTCTTAGTGACCTTCATGTTACTCAGTGGTTGTAAATTGCTTTCCTTCCTCCATATTCTCCTGACTTCAACCCGATTGAAGAATCTTTCTCTAAATTCAAGCATATTTTACATCGTCATGGGGTGTTGCTGCGGGAAATCATGAGTACAGAAAGTGATGAAGTTGTAGAGAATCATTTGTGCGATATCTACCATACCATTTCAGCTCAGGATGTGCAGGGCTGGTTCAGAGATTCTGGATACTTGTAAACTAGCTGTGTGTCCAATATATGTGCATTGAATGCGGTAAAGTACAGGAGGTGGGAAGACTTAGTAACCTTTGCTGCGCATAAATTTTTGTGAAACTTTCTTAAATTCACTGCGCATTGCACAGCACAGCTTCGCTGAAAGACCAGGGAGGATGTCAACACCGAGCTCATGAAGCCCTTTTTCCTGACAAGCTGCTGCTAGCACATCCAGGTGGTAGTACCCTAGTTGGTTGAGTTGTGCAGCATATTGAGTGAACTGCAATTGATCCGGGTTGAAGCCCGCATCCTCCTCAAGGCCCTGCAACCAGTCCCCAATAGTGGGAAACGCTGAGGATGGGGGTGTAAAATCATCACTGCTTGATACAAGCATCCACAAGGTCCCTCCCTGCCGTTGGTGGTAACTAAGTTGTCCATGAGCACTGGGGCTATAGCGGCTAGGTGCTGGGTAACCATTCATGGGGGGGAAGGGGGCAGGACCCTGAAAGTAATAGGATGGTGGTGGATACATTGGAGGGAATGTGGAATACATCGCAGGCCAATTGACCGGAATGTTGCCTTGGATGGGATTGGCCATGACGACCATACCTGCTGACCCTGATCCAGGGTTCGGAGGTGGGTCAACGGACATTGGAGATTGCGATGTAGATTTCACACCCCCTTGTTTGGCTTGCCGGGTGGAGGGACTTGTAGCTTGGGTTTCATGCGGTCTTTCAAGAAATAGACTGGAGGTTTGAAGTGCCCAGACTCTGTAACTAAGTGATGAATTCATGAAATATCATTTGGAAAATGTACATACAATTGACTGTGCCCACTGCTTGATGTTCAACTTGGTTAGAATGACATGATATCCATCAGTACCACAAGCCGTTGACACATGGCAGTGCTCCATGTGAGACTCGCAGAAAGGATTCCTCTGTTTGATGAGCTCTTCTAACTTGTGGGTTGATGGCATTCCTGCTGGAATCTTGCACTGCTTAGACTCAGAGTCCGAATTGGATTCAGAGGTTGAGTCTGGTGAGTCTGGCTGCTCGACCCTGGCCTTCTTTGATTTACGAATTGGCTTGTTGCCTCGAGATGATTCAGTATTGTCTTTTGGGGGCTGTTAAACAATAAATCCAATCAATGACTGGCTAGTTCAGATATTCTTGTTGATTAACATACCAAATTATTGATAATTATCGCAACTGTTGGCTCCTTTTTTGCCCTTGCTTTCTCAACTTTGCCAACCATCATTTTGTAATCATCTTTGTTGTCGACTGCAACCGGATCTTGGTTCTTTGGCACTGTGTACATTTTCCATGATAGTTCATGCTTGAAAGTGAGCATCTCTGAAAATCCTGAGGCCTGAATGATGGCAGCATGCCATTTCTTGTACTTCTTGGTACTTGGCATCCAGCAGCATTTGAATTTGCCTCCGATGTTGACCATATAGGTAATCTCGAGGGGCTCAGGCAGTTCAGGACTTTCACTACGCTGTGGTAGCTTGTCTCCTGAGGACAGGCCATTGGATGCACCTAAGATCAAAAAATATAAATTTGAATCTCCTGAAAAATTCAATGTTCACTTACCTACCATGCTTGTAATATCAGGTATTTCAATGCGATTCTCTGTAGTCACCTGCAGCACAGGGCCCATATCTGGGGAGGCCTGATAATATGCTTCGGACGGTTGGGGCATGTGTGAATATTTGTTAGAAAGCATCTCTGGTTCCATGGCCACTGCGGTAGCTGCTGCCGCTAAAGCATTCAGGCCAACAGGATCATGCATTGCCATGTCCATATTTGATGGAGGTGATTGGGGGGGAGGAATGTAGTGTGGTTGTGGGCAGGCAGTGGGAGCAGTGATGGTGGCGGAAGCTTCGCCAGAAAAGGAATCTGGCATCTCAGCTTGCTGAGTATTTTTTGCTGATCAGAGCATCGCCAGCCTTGATTTATGACCTTTGGATTTACTAGTTTTGGATTTACCACCTCTGCCTGACATCGTTACAGTGAAAAATTGAGAAGACGAGCAGAACGGAAGATGCCATTCTCTGGACCCTGAACGGAGCAGTGTAGATCGGCTGTCATGTCCAGGAGTTGAAACACCCTCTGTGCTCCGAGCTCCAGGGCCGCAGATGGTGACAATTGCACAACGGGGGATGTCTGAACTCTAAATCTTACCCTTCTGGGATTGGCACATTCAACCCAGGTATCCGAAGTGTAGGGTAACTTGGCGGGGGGCCAAATGGTTGCATGGCAATAAGCCATGGAGGGGGAATGAGGGGAGGGATGGAGAGTGCTTCAACCAGTCCAGGGGATAGTTCACCAGGCCGCTTCTCCTTGAGAGATGTCGCAGATTCTTCCCCTTCATAATGCCTACCGTGTATAGAGAAACAGTTAGTTGAACGTCAATTCTAACTGGGGATGCTTGTACACTTCACTGAACAACGTGAGGGGGGGGGGGCTTTAGCCAGCCATCACGGGTGATTGAGCACTTGGAGTTAGGCACTAGGCGGAATGAGCTGACTGGATGAGCATGTACACATAATGTGTAAATGATAAAAAAAAAACACAATGGATTAACTTCCTGGGATACATGGGTGAAGTGATTTCTGCATAAGTTTCACCATATTCTGCACAGTTGTTATCAAGAAAACTATGCACAATGGATTTGTGTTACCAAAAAGAATGATTGAGTGATAGAAAGTTAAAAAACGCAACATTTCAACTAAAGAAAAAAAAGGTCCCGAGGGACATATTCCAACTTCTCTCAGCCTAATTTTCAGCACATTCTGTCCAGCCATTGTTGAGAAAATCATGCACAAAGGGGTAAAACCTAAAATCATGAGAAATGAGAAATATCATTATCACTAGAAAAGGTCCGGGCGTAATAAATGTATGAACGTTTTGCAGCAAACTGCAAGTGACTAGCTCATGCGGTTGCTGAGATATGGTGGACTCTTTGTCAGGGCCTGTTTTCGGGCAGCGAGCATGACGGAACCAAAAAAACAGGGTCACGTGACAACAAAGCTGAAAACAGCTGTATATTGAGTTTCACAATCAGTTGTCCAAATGGTGAGAGCATGTCAATCCCTTCATGAGCAGTGATGTTGTTGATTAGTTGGGGGATTTTATTGTCAAGTGCCACAGCGAATGAATGCCCATTTAACCAACATGTCAAGGGGAGGACATCTTTGATGCTCACCTCCCCCTTCCAGAGTCCGGGTGTGATATGGTCAATATGCTGTGATTCCTTTTCCAGTTCTTGAAGGGATGGTAACCTCAAATGCTATGGGCTCCGGTCCCATTCTGGATGGTGAGCAAGTATGTTTTGAATTTCAGTGACATGTGATAATCGGGTTGATAGCTGAAGTGTGTCAGCATTTGCATCATTCCTGACCATTGTGCATAGAATACCGAATGAAATCTCAAGGCAATCTGTTCTGAGGAGAATGATATCGAATTTTCCCCCCTGATTGTAAGTTTTTTCTTTTGCTATGCAGAAAAAAAATTCTTGATGGCAATCTGAATGTCAATGTAGAGTTGTGTTGGCATGAATCATCCCCTATTTGGATTTTCCCAGAAGAGGATCAGGAGCAAATGTGCAGCAGCACTGAGATGTTCAAGTTGCTGCCAAAGGCTGAGTGTGATGTCGATATACAGTCACACAAACCAGAAACAGACCCGGCCAAAGAGGTGGAGAGTGTAGCACTGGGCTGTCCAGATTGGATCCTTATTGTTGGTAATTAAGGGAAGATCCCAGATGGCTTTCAGTAGTTCAATGGCCTTTGGTATGTCCTGCTTTTCAGCTGGGTTGAGCAAAGCCCGGTTTGTTGTGAATGACATTCCATTTTGGTGAAGATGTCTCTTGAGAATTTGCGGAGTGATGATGGTGTCAAAAATGCTGAAGCCTGCTGGGCAAAGGGTGAGTGTGCATAGCCTCTTGAACAGATCTTATCACATGTTATGTCATGTTTACCAACAAGACGGTTAAATAATGGGAGGGGGGAAAGTAACGGATAGATGGGGGACATGTGGGAGAGGTGTTCCCTCAGTGTGATTTGGGCAAGTGTGGCACCTCGATGTGATTCACTGTCAGATGCAATGCTGTACAGAGCACCCTTCAAGTCCTTCCTGCAAGCTTCATGTCAGGGCCTGGCCTCTGTCCGGGGGCGGCCCTACCTCAGAACTGGACACTCGCAGTGTCCCAGGCACCCAGGTGCTGGATCCTACCCCAAGCTCCTCAAACTCACTAAGCGGGGATTGAGTTGTCATGTATTATGGAAGGTAGCTACAACTTGCCTAAGCAGGGATTGAGTTGAGAAGAAGGGTAAGTTTCCCTATTCCCTGCTTGGCTACTATAAAAGGGAAATGTACTGTACAGTTCGTAATGTGACTAAGGGTAGGAGCCGAGCATGTTCCCACGATGCGGAAAAGGTGTCACATGGGTTAAGGCGAGTTGCTTGCCTTGACCCACGTGATTTTTCCTGCGGGTTCGTGTGCGGGCTGTAGTTGTGAAAGGTGTGTAAAGATGGGAGGATGAGGGAAGTGGGGGGAGGTCAGGGAAGGTGGTTCTGGGGTTGTATGGTCAGGTGTGGTTGCCCTGACATCACCCCCCCTTTATGCCGCTTCGCCTCCGAGCAGCTGGATGTCTTGGCTGGTGGGTTCTATTGGACCTTTCTCATCTCGGGGCATCGGGGTGGGATCGGTGGAACTCTTCTATGAGCTCTTGAGAGTGCTCTAAGTTTTTGTGGGGGAGCCATTCATTTTCCGAGTTTGGCCAGCCCGAGAATTTAACAAAATACCAGAGTTTTCCGTACCTGTACCTAGAGTTGAGGATCTTCTCTACTTCGTATTCTTCTTCTCCATCAATAACTTCTGGGCCAGGGTGGGGGTCTGCTGTGCGCTCGGCGATCTCATCTGGGAGGTAGGGGTGGATGTTGGTGACCGAGACTATGGGGTGGATGCCCTTCAGCTGGGTGGGGAACTGCAGCTTCATGGCTGCTGGGGACACCACCTTGGTGATGTGGAAGGGGCCAATCCATTTGTGGTCCAGCTTCTTAGTTGGTCGGTCGGTTGTGTAGTTTCGGGAGCTGAGCCAGACCTTCTGCCCTTCTTTGTACTCTGGGGCAGCCTTCCGGTTCCTGTCATAGTACCAGGCCATCTCGTCCGCCGCATGCTCTAGTGCTGCCTTTGCCTCTTCCTGCATTTTCATCATCTGGGAGGCAAAGGCATCTGCTGCTTCGACGTCAGAGGAGTGGGTTGGCTCAGTCCCCATCCGGGGGTGTTGTCCTGAGTCGAGCTCAAATGGGGTCCGGCGGGTGGCTGAGTGGACCCGGTTGTTGTATGCAAACTCAGCTAGTGGGAGCCAGTCAGCCCAATCATCCTGCCGGTGGTTGACAAAGACACGGAGGTAGGCTTCGATCTCTTGGTTCACGCGTTCTGTCTGCCCAGTGGTATGGGGTGGATGGGGTGAGCTTGATCCCTAGGAGTGCTGCCAGCTTGCTGGAGAATTTGGACACAAAGGCTGTGCCTCGGTCGCTCAGGATCTCCTCTGGAAGGCCATGGTGCCGCCAGACATGTTCCAGGAACAGCATGGATCCTCTTGGAGAGGCAGTCTACTACCACCAGGATCGCATTGTAGCCCCTGGACTCTGGGAGCTCGCCTATGGTGTCCACCAAGATTATCTGCCATTGGTGGGAGGGCACTTTGTTTGGGATGAGCTTCCCGACCTTCTGGGAGGGGAAGGATTTTGCCCGTTGGCAGGTGTCGCAGCCTGAGACATAACTAGCTACGTATCGTGACAGTCCCGGCCACCAGTAGTTCCGGGAGATCAGTTCCAGAGTCTTCCATCTGCCTGGGTGTCCTGCTGGGACCGAGTCATGGTGCAACTTCACCAGGTCATGGTGGAGCTGGGGGTCCTTGGGGACGTATACTTGCCCTCGGTAGAGGATCAGGTCCCCATCTCTATCCCATTTGTCCGGGTGCAGAGAACCTTTTCCTAGTTCTCTTAAGGCCTTCGCCACTGCCTCATCATGTTCCTTCCCTTCTCGGATCCTCTTCAACATATCCATCTCCTCTCCTTCCATTGACACCCCCTTGGTCACTCGGACTTCAAACCACTCCGGGTGCAGTAGGGTTACACCTGTATTGTCCCCTTCTCCTCGAGGGTGGTCTGCTCTGCGTGACAGAGCATCCAGCTTCCCCATGAGCTTCCCTGGGTGATGGGTCAGCACAAAGTCGAAGCGGGAGAGGTAGAGGGACCAGCATGCTTGTCGCCGGTTCAACCTCTGGGCCGTCCGGAAGTATGAGAGGTTTTTGTGGTCCGTGAAGATGGAAAACTTCTCTGGGGCTCCTTCTAGGAAGTGGCACCATTCCTCAAGTGCTCGTATTATGGCGAGCATCTCCTTGTCATAGATCTCGTAGTTCCTTTCTACCTCCGAGAAGCTCTTAGACATGAAGGCCATGGGGTGGTAGTCTCCGTCCGACTGGAGCTGTGAGAGGACTGCCCCCATCGCAAAGTTGGAGGCGTCACACTCTAGGCGGAATGGGGCCATGTTGGAGGGGAAGGTGAGCACCAGGGCTGACGTGACTGCTTGCTTCAAGTCCTCAAAGGCAGTCTGTTCTACCAGGCCCCAGGCCCAAGGCTGGGTCTTCCGGGTGAGTCGGTGAAGGGGCTTCACCTTTTCTGAGAAGTCCCAGATAAAGCGGCGGTAGAAGTTGACGAAGCCTAAGAAGGATTGAACCTCTTTGACCTTCGTGGGGACCGGCCAGTCGGTTACTCCCTTCACCTTGACTGGGTCCATTGCAACATGACCTTCAGAGATGACGAGGCCCAGGTAGTTGATGGTGTTCTTCTCGAACCTGCACTTCTCAGGCTTGAGGAAGAGCTTCCGCCTCCT